ACTGACACTGATGATCCTGGCTCGCAGCATCCTGCTGTGCCCCATCGGGTTTCTCATGAGACGCGCATGAAGAAATTGACAGAAATCAAACAATTAAAAATTTTTCTACATACCTTTTGACTAACAGCCACCTGTTCGGGAGCAAGGCTTCATATATGAGCGAGTTAGTTGCTTTGAATTGTGTCTTATAAATATTTTGCAGGAGTGGCAATCTGGGGAGAAAGCATTCCTTCCCTAGTCACACCCATCTCAGTGACTGTGGTTGGCAGGAGCTCAGGAGGTCATCCAGTCCAACACCCCGCCCAGGCAGGGCCATCCTGAGCCAGCTGCCCAAAACCAAGGCCAGGTGAGTTTTGAGTATCTCCAAGGATGGAGATTCATGACCTCCCTGAGCAACCTGCTCAGGTGTTTGACCACTCTGACAATGAAAAAGTGGATTTTCTTGTCTTTCAGTTTGTGCCCATTGACTCATATTCTTTCCCAGGGAACTACTGAGTTCCCTCCCATTTTCTAGTTGTCTTCTTCATCCCCTCCCTTTTATAGATTAAGGATCCCTCCAACCGTTCCTCTTCCACAGTCTTAAGAGTCCCAGCTTCCTAAGCCTCTGCTCATAGTAGTCAGTCTGCTATCTGAGACACCCATGTCTTACACTGCTTTTTCTCTCTCAAAGTCTACCAAACAATAAGAGTGAATGCCAATAAATCTATCACTATTAATTACACAGTTTCAGCCTTCCGCGCAAAGTTAAACTTGACAAGTAGATATTTCTTCATTTTGAATCTGTTCTATAAATCCACAATACCAAGATCTTAACAAAGCTGTGGAGTTGCTGTGTCTGAAGTAGCTGTTGGCAGCTGACAGTCCCAGTTCACCTCAAGGTTGTTCATTTAACACTGTCATGTGAGAATATTTACAGAGAATATTTACTGTTTAATAGTCTGGTCTGGTCCCAGTACAAAGGAGGACTTTATTAGATATGTGCTCAGTAAAAGCTTAAGGTAAAAGAATACAGGAACTGAGCTGTAGCAGGAAATACAGAATATTGATATAAAATCTGTATTTTGAAAGGGTGAGACATATTCAGTTAAACATATTGTTCTTCAAGTGCAGCACCAGGTCTAATATGTCTTTAGACCAGAATTAACGACGTGAAGCTGCATTTAGCTTGCTCTGTCCTCCTCTGTCCTCTGCCTTTAGTCCAGGAAATTATGTGAATTATTTTTTTGTTGACCAGATAACTCATGTGGGGGCTGAAGAGCCAGCCCAAGACGGGCCTGTTGCACACCCCTGGAGGGCTAACCCCTGAGCCACAGACTTGGTTAGGGTGAGTAAATTTCACCCCCAGAGGCCTTTGCAGTTCTGTGTTGATTCCTTGTTGCCCATTGGTCTTTTCCCTCACGCTCTGCCCCTGAGCCTGTATCCCTTGGGTTGCTGGTTTAACCCCACCCCTCGCCTTTCCTATTTAGGGGAAAACAGGGGAAAGGAGCAGGTCGTTCCCTGGAGCTTCTGTTCCTGGCTCCCTTTGCAGAGGGCCCTGCTTTCAATAAAGGCCACCACTCTGTGGAACACCATACAGAGCTCCAGTTTCTTTCTCTGCATCGCGTGAGGGAAAAAGCCAGAGCTGAAAATCACACACTGATTGTCCTGGGAGAAGGACGTGCCTGTGCCTCTGAGCCGTCCTTCTGAGGCTGCTCTTCAGGAAAGTCACAGCACCCTTACTGCCACCCCGCTGCTGCAGCAATAGGCGCCCAATGTGCGGCCCAATCCCGAAGCGCCCCTGAAGAAGTGTCCGCTGCAGTTTTCACTGCAGAGTGAGCCGCTGCTGGGCTCGCCATCCCCACAGCAGAACCCCTTGTGTTTCAGTAAGGGCTATCTGACAGGCAGCAACCGGGAGCCTCGCTGTACAGCTGGGGGAGAAGAAGGAGAAGATCCCCTGAGGACTGTCTGCCAGGTGACCACCCATCCACCAGCTTTTTGTTGATCCACCAGGCATTGGCCTGAAGAAAGATTGTGAGTTTCATATATTTGGGTCTTTCACTTTTTGTTTTCCTTTTGCCGCTGGGTGGGGAGTGACACAACCAGGACGGGAAATAAGCTTAGTAGGCCTAAGCTCAACACTCCTGAGAGGGACTTCTATCTCCAAGTTGTGGGTGCCCTTGTTGCAGGAAATTTTAAGTTTTCAAAGGAGGATTTGAAAAGGTTTATTCATTGGGTTTTCAAACATTTTCATAAAGTCAATTGTAATCCTGTTCATGCAGGTTTGTTTTGGGATCAAGTGGGGAATGACTAATATACAGTTCAAGCTAGTGGGGATTTTTCGGTTGCCAAGTTTTTTCTCCTATTCCATATTATTGTTCAATCTGTTGATAAACTGGGGAATGTTTTGGGGAAGGTTCCAGGGAAGGTTTTGGGTCCCCAGTTGACAAGCCCTTCCCCTTCAACCTCTCCCCATACTCCCAAACCCCCTTTCCCATCTGAGGGGCAGTCAGCGGGTGGTTGTTGCCAACAGGCACAGGGTTGCTGCCGTCTCCCTGACACCCCCTGACCTCCTCTCTCCCATTGCCAGGACAGCAGTGGCCATGCCACTCTGGATCTTTCCCCCAACCTCTTCCCTATGCCAAATATCCAGTTACACGCCTCCATTTAAGGTTTCCCACAAAATGACGCTGGAAATGTGGCTAACCCCACCATTTGGTCTCCCCCATATCCAAGTTTTCCTGCCCTTATGCCTCAAAATGGCCACTTTCCCACCTCGACCTCTCCTTTTCCTGCACCTCCCATTGCACCCTACTCCCCTCCCTGCATTGTTGTTGGGTGTAACCGCGTTGGGACCCTCCCCTTCCATCAGGAAACCCCACCCCGTCACAGACCCTATCCATGCCCCCATCCAGCCTGAGCTCCTCCCCTGATGGCCCCTCCACTTTCAGTTCCCACAACACCAGGACCAGAAGTCGGGGTTGCGGTTGCTTGGGGGGGGGCCTTCTTGGTTTCCCCTTCTTTTCCTTGGTTTCCCCGGCTTTCCCCCGGCGGGCAACTTCGGTTCGTTCAAGGCGGCCCCCCCTTTTTTTCAGGGGCCTTCCTTCCCTTTCGGGGGTTGGGGGCGGGGTTTCTTGGGCTTTTGGTTCGGCCTTGAGTATGAGGATTGCTGGGCCAAAATTCAGAGGGAAGCCACTCAGGCAGGAGACTCAGCACTGCAGAAAAGATCTTTGCTTTCCCCGTTGTAAGTAACATAGTTGGAGGGCAGCAGCCATTAATTTGTGGGAGCCCCTACTCTACGGGGCATTAAAGGAGCTGTGCAGCTGTGCAAAACAGCTGAGGATCATGGTCGAGGCTCACGGTCAAGGCTCACATTTTTTCAAAAACCTATTTTAAGCCACCTTCACCACTCATGTTATGGTGACACATGATATTAAAAATATAATGAACTGCCTTTTTTTCCTAGCTGAATATATGCTGTGGGAAAGGCAATGGAAAAATCATCTTAAATGATTGGCAGATGCATGCACTAAAGATGCTAACTCTCCCACAAATCTAACTTTCCCACAAATGGTGGGAGAAGGTGACTTCCAAAAGCCTCAAGACCAGGCCAAAGACTTAGACAAAGCAACTCTCAAAGGCATTGCTACTGCCACAAAAACATCCCTTCTTATAATCCCAGATGACATTGTGCTAACACAGCGCTTCACAAATATTAAACAAAGGATAAGTAAGTCTTTTATTAAGTATATAGATAGACTAAAAATAGTAATTTGAAGACAAGTAGAGGCTCAAAGGGAATTAGTAAAAATGGCCATGGCAAATGCCAATGCTGAGTGCAAAGGAATAATAAGAGCTTGCTTGACCACCAGGTGGTCCCTCAAATGCCTTAATT